GAGCACTCGAAGCTGAAGTAGGAGCACTTGAAGCTTCCTTGGACCATTCTGTTATGATTTGGAGCGCTCGAAGCTTCTCCGAGGGCTCGTATGACATGGAATAGCTCATATGGATTTCTCATATATGCCGCACGAGTGCTCGAAGGTGGTGTTTCGAGCACTCGAAGATGCCTCAAAATGCATTTTCTTCTCCTTTTGCTATGGACATCTTTTACTTGGATTTAGCATTGGCCTATTGAGAATTATTTACCCTTTTTTTCATTGTAGAAAGACTTCATGGACCTATTTTAGCAGATTCCTCTTGGAGATCTCCGGATGTAAATGCCCGGAATGATTTTCTCTTCAACAAGCCTTCGAATACTTCCATTTAATTTCCTTTTTGTAGAAAAACCTCAAAATTGCACAGAATAAAGAACTGGAGAAAATATATTCAATTGAACTACAAATGGACTTAACTAATATAAATAAGGGCGCTTGAATATGCAATATTCGGTGCTTATCAGAACTGATCTAAGGTAGCTTAGGGTGCTCCCTGGGTCTCATCTTGACATAGACGTTAGGTGGCATGAGCCCCTTTAACATGTTTCACCTTAAAGTGATATAATTGTAAAATGCTAGGTCGATGCATGCTCATTTCCTATGAGTAGCTTTATGTTACTCACCCCGAAGTTACTGGGGATTAGTTTTAGGTATAAAGGCTTGGTTCAAGATGCTCATCATGCCTTGGATGAGTTATAGCTTTTATGTTTCCATTTTGTGTAAATGTTAGTATGAATTCTCATTTTCATAGCCTTTTATGTCTAAACTTGTATTCTTGATTCCATATATGTAATTTGTACATAAGTACACTCTTTTTAATGTATTTGACATGTATGAGTTGAGGCCATAGGCCAATGGCATCAAATATGTATTCTATGCACTTTTGCTTTCAAGGTTCACTATGAAAATATTGAAAAATCACAAGTCATTGCTTCCTAACTTTTGCATCGGGTATGGAAATTCCATTCTTTTTCTTTCATTAAGTCTATATGATCATGCATGAGCTGTGGTCAAGGGCCAAACACCATTTTGTTCCAGGTTTCACATTTTAGTTTCATTTATTGTATTTTTAGGCATTCTTGGCTGTTGAGATGTCATATTTTGCACTGGGGTTATTTTGAGGTCGCGGACCATTGGGATGCGTCTTAAATGTCTTTTTACGTTTCATGCATGTCCACTTTTCACAAAACTCTTGAGTTTCAACTTTTGACCTATTTTTGGGTGATTTTTTATGAATTTTTATGAAAATTCTTGCATTAGGGTGTCATTTTGGGTTCCTCCTTGTTTTGGTCTATTTTGGATGCTTGAACGAGTCTAGGGAGTGTTTTCAAACTTGTTCGGATCATGTGGAATGCATAAATAACCTTAGAGATGGACCGGACACCATTTCCACACATCACTATAGCTTTTTACAACTACAGTAGATGTGTCGGTCGGCCGATGAAGCTTCATTAGTTGGTAAACGAAGCTTGAGGAGCCATTTTAGTAGCCATTTAAGGAAAATCATCGTTTTAGCTGACCGATGATTTGGGTTAAGTCGACCAATCCTCCCTAGAACCCTATTCTTCATCTTTTCCTTGGACAGTTTCCTTGATTCGACTTCATGGGATCATATCTCATTCGTTTTAAATCCAAATTGGGTCGTTCTTGAGCCTAAATTCAAGAGTTTGAAGTTATTTTTCCAATGGTGCCAACCACTCATAAAAAATCCACCTATAGTATGAGTTATTCCTATTTTAGTGAGATAGGTTCATGGTAATTGTTAAACGAAAAAGGCCACTTTGTTTTAATTTCATATCTTTTTCGCTCGGACTCAGAATCAGGCGATTCTTGAGTCTAACTTTGTTCATTTTTCATTTTCATTCCAATGGTGTACAAGGTGGTACCCATTATAGTGTGAAATAACCATTTTACCCTTGGTTCATTTCTTTTCGGGCTAGACATTCTTGCTTTATTTGCTTAGCTTATTTGAGTTCCATGGCTTTATAGGGAGTCATTTTGGTGCCTTAGGGATAATGTACATCTCTAGTGGCCATTTTGATTCTTTCACTTTTGCATGTCAGATCCGTTATTGGGTCATTCTTTCGGTTCATCACTGACACATCGGGTTGAAAAACTTGGGCCGTCACAGGTGGTATCAGAGCTCCTACGTTTGAATACCTTGGACGATGGGTTTTGGGTGCATATCATGCTTGTGTTGCCATGCTCTATATGTTTATTTGCTTCATGATAACATGTTTACGTGCCTATGTGGTATATGTGGTATGCCGTTTATTTAACATGATTAAATTCTATTGTAAAAAGCATGACATATGATGTATGGTAGATTAGATTTGTATAGGCACAATTGTGTTACGTATTTAGCATGACACCAGATTGGTCATTAAGGCACGAATTGAGGCTGTTGGTGATTGTCAGTTTGGTTTTGTAGTAGCATAGGTTGTTGTCGACCTAGCATTGGTTTTGAGGTAGGTGAAGAGACACCTTTTGTTTAGTCTCTCGTGAGGTGAGTCATTTGGCGTTACTGTGGCGCTGGATTTGTTAATTTTGGGCCACGATGAGGTTATGGACCCCTTAGTGATGAACCAAGAGGGGGGGTGAATTGGTTAATTTCTTCCCAACAGTATCAATAAGGTATTTCAGCAAGCAAGCAATAAGTACTTAAAACATGATTTAGAAGGAAATCCTTTCAACTAGGGAAAACCTTGGTTGTTGGCCTTAGCCAATGAAGTTCACTACTAGCTGTATGTACCTTGTTACACACTCAGTTGTCTCACCCTCTACACACGCCCAAGCATAAGAATGGACACTAATTTTCACAACCAATACACACACTAATTGATTTCAGTGCACACACACACTCCCCATGTCCTAAGCACCCTTGCTTGGACCAAAAAAGCTCACATAGCTCTCCATATACATCATTACAAATGATAAACAAGATAATCAAATTTCTTCTACAAGTGAAACAACTTAAACAACACAAAATACCAAGTTATTACCTCAAAGTCACTAAACTGCTGCAGCTAGAGTTTGAGGGGTAAAATTGGAATTTTCCTTCGAGATTAGTTCACCAGTAGCTTCCACAGTCTCAATTCACTGTAGTACTCATGTTAACATCCTTAAGCAGTTCAGCATAGCATGAGTATACATGAAGGTTCAATCACAGTTCTTGAATAAGAACAACACCACATAGTTTAAGGGGTGTTGCAAGGTCACAACCACAATCTATCAATGTTTTGCACCACAGCCAATTTCAACAGCTTTGATTCATCAAAATAGACTTGCTAGCACATAGATAATCCATAGAATAGCTAGCCTTAATCATTTTGCACTTGAATCATAATATATGCAGAAAAACAAGCTTATCTACTAATCAAAGAGCTCAAAATCCATTTCAGCATGTTTCAGTTCAAAGCAAACTGCTGACCAAGTGTAAATAGCATAGTTATACCTGTGACAACCCTCAAAAATGACCACAGCAGCTTGGAACTCAGACTCACTACTCAATCCAGCCCTTTCTACAGCAATTTGGACAGTTGCAGCATCTCAGCATATTGATTACACACAAGGCTTGAGTCAGTGGGTTTTTCTAGCATAGATCATCATTGCAAATCACAAAAAAAACTTTGTTCAATAATAAGAGCTCGAGATTTCTCTTCTGCAGCTTACTCTTAGTCTATTTTTAAGGCCACTAACCCTAAAAGACTCCTATAATAGCATATATATAGACCTGTGTAAATGCTTGACTGCACTTCTCTTAATTCAATGCTGTTACCTTTCAGCCAATGATTGTATAAGAACAAATCTGACATTCCCTCAGTGAAAAGACAATGTTGCCCTTGATATCTCACCAAATAATGACACTTTGTGCATCAGTAAGAACAATTCATACATATGAGGTGACATTGATATTTATCTTTGCTTAGCCACTAAGATCTGCAACACCATTGGAGGACAGTATATTCATGGACCATAGCCACATGTTACACTCCTGAAAATACTTGAAAAGTTTTACAAACAAGCCTTATACCAGCTGTATATTACATTCAGCTGAATCCTATTGTTGAGGCTGTATTAGACACAATGTAGGCTCACTACAGCAATTCAGTGCAATGTAGATATTCAGACATACGAGTATTCATAGAATACATCAGAGAAAGTACTAAAATACCCTGAAAGAACCTGTAACAGGGTCCTTATATATTGATCTTGACTGAGACCATTCAATTTAGCTGAATCAAGTGTACAAGCTGTGATGAATTAATACATGCCAATGTAAAAAGACTGTCACTACAATATAAATGACAATGCTGCCCCAGTGACATATGTTAAGCCATAATACAGATAGGTTATGCACTTAAGCTCACTAAACCAAAGCTTTTTGACATTAGAGAACCTTAGGACCAACAATCTCCCCCTTTTGCCTTTAATGACAAAAACTTTGATATGAAATAAGGCCTCAAGTATAGTGATACAGATAATAAAAAGGGAGCAACCCAACACTCATCAAATGATAAGAATAGCATGTGACACTATCCTTATTTCAGTCCTTTTCTCCCCCTTTTTGACATTGAAAGTCAAAAGGGAGCAGGACCAACAATACTAAGGTCAAAGAGGTGGGGGAACAACCCTGAGAAGATCTCTAAGGGTGAAAATCTGTGAGGAAGAAGAGGTTTAGTCATGATGTCTGCAATTTGATCTTCTGTTGGTAGATAAGTACTATCAAGAAGCCCTTTTTGAACTTTATCTCTGAGAAAATGATACCTGATATCTATATGCTTGCTTTTCCAATGCAACGTGGGATTTTTACTGATGGCAATAGCACTTTGATTGTCACAAAAAAAGCTTAGGAGGGATGGAGAAGTGAAGTCTAAGATCTGTCACAGTGTGCATCCAAAGTAATTGAGAACCAGCTTGAGAGGCAGCAATATACTCAGCTTTTGAAGTAGAGAAAGAGACTATGTCTTGCTTTTTACTAAGCCAGGAGACGACATTAGAACCAAGAATATAACAGCACCCAGAAGTACTCTTTTTGTCAGGTAAGGATCCACCCAATCAACATCTGAAAAGACAGCTTTTGTCATTATTAGAGAAAAAATGTAATGTAGACAATAAGAGATTGTGCCCTTAACATATCTGAGAATGCGTTTGGCAGCTTGGAGATGAGACATTTTGGGATTACTTTGAAATCTGGCTACCAATCCTACTGAGTACATTATATCAGGTCTTGAAGCTATGAGATAAAGTAGATTGCCAATGATAGACCTATAAAGTGTGGATGGAACTGCTTCTGAAGTACAATCAACTGACAGTTTAGTATTGGGACACAATGGTGTTGAAACAGACTTGCTATCCTTCATGTTGAACTTCTTGAGTAATTCTGAGGCATACTTTTGTTGTGAAATAAAGATTCCTTTGGATGTTTGAGCAATTTGAAGTCCTAAGAAATACTTGAGAGTACCCAAGAGTGACATTTCAAACCTTGTCTTCATAAGATTGGCAAACTCTGATGCTAATGAAGTGTTGGAACCACAAAACATGATGTCATCTATATAGATTTGAAGAATTAGAAACTGGTCTTGATGAATCCTGACATATAGGGTGTTGTCAACTTTGCCTCTATGAAAGCCTTGTTTAATTAAGAACTGATGTAACTTTTCATACCAAACCTTTGGAGCTTGTTTAAGACCATACAAGGCTTTGCTTAGTTTGAATACATGAGAAGGATATGCAGAATCTTCAAAACCTTCAAGCTGCTCTAGATAAACTTACTCACTTAGATCTCTATTTAGAAAAGCGGATTTGACATCCATTTGGTACACTTTGACTTGTTTATGACATACAAAGGACATTAGCATTCTTATGGACTCCATTCTAGCCACATGAGCAAAGGTTTCATCATAGTCAATTCTAGCTTGTTGTGAATAGCCTTTACACACCAACCTTGCTTTATTCCTGATCACAGATCCTTTTTCATTCATCTTATTTCTGTAAATCTATTTAGAGCCAATTACATTCTTGTTTGCAGGTCTAGGTACCAGTGTCCAAGTATCATTTTTGTTAATTTGATCAAGTTCTTCTTGCATGGCTACAACCCAATCTTCAATCTTCTGAGCTTCAAAGTAAGATTTAGGTTCAATAGATGACAACATTGCAAAGTGGCTATATTCTGTGTTATCTTCAGCTTCTAACTCAATTAACTTCTTCCTACTCCTTGTTTGAACTCCAGCTTGAGATGAACCAATAATGTTTTCAGCTTGAACCTACTTCTGCAGCACTGGGTAAGTAGTTTCTTTTGAATTCTCAGGTTCAGTCACTGAAGAGCTGGCTTCATTTGAACCAATTGTATTATTGCTGTCTTCAGTTAGAATCACTTGAGGATTTTCATCAAATTTCATATAGATTGACTCAACCACCTTCGAAGACCAAAGGTTGTAACATCTATAAGCCTTGCTTTTTGTAGAATACCCCAGAAATATACCTTCATCAGATTTTGAATCAAACTTCCCCAAACTGTCAATGTGATTAAGTATATAACACTTGCTGCCAAATATTCTGAAATAGTGAACTGTTGCAGGTCTTCCATACCATAATTCAAAGGGCGTCTTAGTTGAATTTGGTCTAAGGAGAACCCTATTGATGATATATACAGTAGTACTTGCAGCTTCAGCCCAAAATCCTTTTGCCAAACCATTTTCAAGCAACATTGTTCTTCCCATTTCTTGAACTGTTCTGTTCTTTCTCTCCACAACTCCATTCTATTGAGGTGTAGCTATAGCTGAGAATTCCTTTTTGATTCCATTGTCATCACAGTAGTGTTCAAATTCTTTCATGGTGAACTCTGAACCAAAATCTGACCTGAGTTTCTTCACAGTGTAGCTTCTTTCATTTTTAACAAGATTGACAAACTTAATAAAGTGTGTAATTGCCTTAGACTTTTCTTTCAGGAAGTAAACCCACACCATTCTGCTAAAGTCATCAATGAGTAGCATAAAGTACTTACTACCACCAATACTTATGGTTTTGGTAGGGCCAAAAAGATCCATATGTATCAGGTCAAGTGCCTTAGAGGTGTTAATTTCCTTGGAATGGAATAAAACTTTAGTTTGCTTTCCTTGTTGGCATGCTTTACAAAGATGATCATCCTTAAAACAGATGTCAGGTAGACATTTAACAACTTTTAGTTTCAATATCTTGGATATATTCCTTGAATGAAGATCACCTAACCTCTTGTGCGATAACTTAGCTTCATCACAGGTTGTTAAATTACATTAGGTGACCTGACTTTCTTCAATGACTGTGTAAACAATTCCTGAAGATCTACTAGCTAAGAACATAACTTGTTTTGATTCCAGATCAATCACATTGCATCTTTCTTTGTTGAAACAAACTTCTTTCCCACTATCACACAGTTGACTGACACTTAGGAGATTATGTTTGAGCCTTTCAACCAATAGAACTTCTTGAATCTGAGGTAATTCTTCAGACTTACTCACAGTTTTAATTCTAACAATCTTAGCTCTTTGATTGTCTCCAAATATAACATTTCCACCATCAAATTGTTGTAAAGAGTTAAATTTGGAACCATCACATGTCATGTATCTTGACTAACCACTATCAATATACCATTTGTCTTGAGTATTATAGGCTTTAAAAGCTGTATACACAAGAAGACTTATAGAGTTCAGCTTCTTAGGGATCCACATCATCTTAGACTGCACCACTGACCCTTTGTCTTTGACTCTCACACCTCGAGTTAAGTCTGACTTCTTCATATACATCTTAGTGACCATAAAGTTCCTTGCAACTGATGTAATAAAGTCTCTCTGATTGAAACTCAATGGATATTGGATGTTATCAAAAATATCAAACCTTGATCTTAGAGGTTTTACAATGAGATAACTTGCATACACTTCACCAGTGGTTGCCTTCACAAATGTTGAATGTTTTTAATTGATTTTAGCAGTTGAATCACATATATATCTAATTCCAGTCTTCCCAATTTGCTTAGTGGATTGTTTCCAAATTTCAGCCATCTTCAAAGATCTCTCCTCAAGTATAGTAGACAGTTCTTCCTTGTATCTTTTAGTAAACTACTGAGAGTTACTTTGAACCTTGAGTATGATCGGTTGAGAATTCGATCTATAATAAATCAACCTTCGCAATAGCACGAATCATTGTAAAATAGGGCTATTGGTCGAGTAAGATGAACCACTGGGACTGCGCTAGTTTATGGCAACCAAGGTTTTAAAATCACTTTTAGTTTGATGAAGGGGGTATAGAGGTTTGTTGGTTTGTCACGAAAATTAAGAATTTAAATTGCATAAAACAATGAAGTAAAGAGATAGAGATAATAAAGAAGAGACTAGGGAAGTGACTCCACAACCATCAATAAGTATGATAGGACATGATTTACTTAGGGGAATAACATATATATATAACCATGGGATGTAACAACACAAAATTATTACATTCCCTTCAAGAAATATATGAAGTCAATAGGCAAGAATAACCTATCAAAGCATTACATGCTTTTGGTCACCTAAACTAGAATACAACCTTGGACATGCTTGCTAAGCCAAAGATTATCAAACCCTTAACCTCATAATGTAAGCACATGAAATAGAATCCAAGAATAATCTATCAAAGGGAGATCCTAAGCAATAGATTATCAATTCTCCTAATTATCATGCCAATAACAACACTTCCATGAACTCATCTCCATTGTCACAATAAAAATGTAGCAATATAATCATAAGAGAAAAACAATCTAAGACAAGATATTTAACTCAAAATAATCATGTATAGATATTGAAGTTCATTACATCAAATAAAGTGCTCTAGTTCATGGAAAAATTACATACATACATTAATCCCCAAAAATAAATCAAAACAAAGGAATGCTTACAAAATGGAGCTTCATCACCTCCCTAGGTAGGGAGTTAGTTATCCATGAATGCAAAGAAAGAAGAAGAAAATGAAGAATCCCTCTACATTTTTGCACCTTAATCTCAAGAACACACCAAGAACTCAAGAACACTCCTTTTTCCCCTCTAGAACCTCACAAGAATGAGGTATATATGATCTATATGAGATATCCTCCTATATACACTCAAAACTTACTCCCCATGCTGAAAATCTTGAGCTCTCACCTTTGGCTCATTCTAGACCACATAAAATGAAGATAAGGGAACAAAAATGCTGAAAAAGAGGAGCAGGTGAACTACCTACAGAGGGTAGGTGGGCACCCGCGGAAGCTACGGCTCGCTAGGGTGGCACTGGCATGTTTGGCGGGCGCCCGCGGCATGATGGTGGGCTCCCGTGGTGGTGCGCGGGAGCTACTGCGGGGGCTTCTGCAAGGCCCCGCGAAAGAGGCCAGAGAGTTTGGGGTTGGCGGGCGGATTGCGGGATCTCCGCGGGCGCCCGCAGAGGCTGCAACTACACTTCAATTCTTGATTTTCTACACTCTTCTTCAGGCTGGAACGATGATCCACGTCCCTTATGAAACACTAAGCCATGTCGCCACAAAAACGGTAATAGAAGAGGCTTGCTCAAAAAGATGATTTCCTGACACGGCGCATGCATTTCAACACAAATGATGTCAAAACTGCTTCTTTGATCACTCTCGGGAACAAAACCTGAAATCCGAAAGGAAAACACAATTGGAGTTAAACTGTACATTATACTCCATTCATTGACTTAACTAGTGCAAGAAAGGGCGTTTAAATATGCAATATTCGGTGCTTATCATCACCACTGACCCTTTGCCTTTGACTTTCACACCTCGAGTTAAGTCTGACTTCTTCGTATACATCTTAGTGACCATAAAGTTCCTTGCAGCTGATGTAATAAAGTCTCTCTGATTGAAACTCAATGGATATTAGATGTTATCAAAAATATCAAACCTTGATCTTAGAGGTTTTACAATGAGATATCTTGCATACACTTCACCAGTGGTTGCCTTCACAAATGTTGAATGTTTTTAATTGATTTTAGTAGTTGAATCACATATATATCCAATTCTAGTCTTCCCAATTTGGTTAGTGGATTGTTTCCAAATTTCAGCCATCTTCAAAGATCTCTCCTCAAGTATAGTAGACAGTTCTTCCATATATCTTTTAGTAGACCACTGAGAGTTACTTTGAACCTTGAGTATGCTTAGGAAAATAAGGGAAATTGAACACATAGTTGACAATTTGAGTTTTAGGTGTTTGGTGAGAATTTTTCTAGACCTTAATAGTTCTGAATTTAGCTTTCTAATTTTAGATTTTTGATGATTGCACTTCACAGCAAGTCTTTCACATTATTCCAGAATTTCCTCAATCTCTGTGTCAGTATCTTCTTTAGCTTCAACAGAATCTTTTGGTGGTTCAAGAATGGCCATGAATAAACACTCATCTTCTTGAGCTTCTTTAGGTTTCTCTTCTTCTTCAATGGCTGTTTCCCAGTCTGAAAATAAGGCTTTTCTTCCAAACCTTCCTTTGTTGTTAGGTCCTTTAAACTTTCTCTGAGTTTGCCCTTTAGAGCTAGGACACTTAGA